CCCCACACAACCACCACTTGTCCAAACCCCAAATCTCCCTTTCCCCCACCCCCTCTCCCGCTTCTTATACAATCAAGTTTTGTGAATGTTTAGGGTCACTTTGTAAACTTTGTTTCCAGCCCTCGACAAGCCCTCGTGAATCACCCCCTCGACCAAGTTTCCTTTCACTTTCTCTCTCCATTAACGATTACTTCAGCCGACAGCGCCGCGTTTGAATGCACACAAATTTGATCTCGTGTCTGAGTGAACGATGATACAGGCAGGGTAAAAACTAAAACACGCTTTTCACAAGTCTCTCGGTGGTTTCTAAAAAAAATAATGAAGAAAATACTACTAAAGAAAAACACAATTTAAAGAAATCGCTGAAACGTTAACGGAAGAAGGAAAGGACTGAGGTACTCACCCGATGATCGATAATCCTACGAATTCAATTCCCAATCACAACGATCCAGTCCGAGAAATAACAAACTTCAGAGGAGGAGGAAAAAAAAGATGGTTGAAGAAAAAAAAAAATCTCAGAAAAAAATAACCCAAATTTATCCACACATTTGGGCACTAGAAGTAACAGCACTGACGGAATGATGAAGGTCCTAGAATCCGCTCCTCGTGTGTGTGTGTGCGGGGAAATAATCCAGTTAGAAACGTGCTCACTCCGAGGAAAATCGATGTCTTTGACGGGAGGGCGTTAGTCCGAGTGTGGAAATCCTTGTCACACGTTTGACAACACGTATTTTACTCCAAGAGAATCACCGATAAGTTTCGAGGAACGATAGTCTGGGGAGAAGAGAAATATGAGAAAAAAAGTTAGCATCTATAGGAGATTGTTGGTGTTCAACTTCGTTAATGGTCACTATTTTTGATGTTCAATGATATTAATGTTCAATTTTTTTAATGCTCCATTGTACCCGTTCTAGATATATATATGATTTTAAAAATATTAATGTTCACCATTATTATAAATGTTCTACACATTTTATAAAACTTTGAAACATAGTCAAAATAAACAAATTTAATATCAATAATAACAGATCTTATAATTATGTACATATACATACATACATAATTATATATATGTGTGTGTGTGTGTGTGTGTGTGTCTGTGTGTGTGTCTGTGTGCAAAAGCACTGCACCCATACACAGAGCGGGTAAAAAATAAAGCGTTTAAAATGTTCCCAGTAGGCATACGTTATCGTAAGAGTATTACGGGAATTGCAACACAATAAGGCCATACAAGCGCTGCAGATTAGAAATGTTATAAGGGAGTAACGTATACAAAATCGAAGGAGAGAAAATGGCGACAGATTTTGATAGGAAAGAAGGAGCAAACCACACCAAAGCACCCTCCAACCACCCACTCTATACAAAACTAAAAACACACATGACACAGTCCACATTGTCCAACAACGGCCTCCCATCACCGAGAAGATAAGTGATTGCCTTAGAAGAACGTAATTGACTCGGGACAAAATGACGCTACAGCAGGTTCAGCTGTTATTATCCGTTACCTGTTCACGGCTTATATTATAATTACAACACACTAATTGTTAATGCATGTACATTTCAACAGCTCTGTCGTGTAAGAATCCACCATGTGCCACATTTCAAAATTATGGCGAACGACAGTCAGTCAGTCTATTAGATCTACTCTCGAACCAGACAGCCGATGTGCAGTTAATATAAAAGATCAACAGTGCATATAACAAAATAATATTGATAGAAAGTAAAAAGAAGAAGGACCAACAAAAAAAGGGGGAGGGGGGGAGACGACAAGCGAGTGAACCAACTGACTCCGTGTCACTCGGGAGTCGAAGAAATATACACGGGCGGCGTCTCCTCCTCGTAAGTCTTCACTAACAAAAACAATTGCGCGGAACAAGTGCAAAGAGCAATCCGCGTAGAAAATAACATTTCTTTGTTCGTCGCTAATGTAAAATAGGCCTGACGTGTAAGGAATGGTTTAGCGCCAACTCGGAATTACAAGCTCGAGATTTGTCTGTCTGCAATAAAATTAACTTGTCGACAGCTTTTCTGGAAGGCAATTCCACCTCTTCCTCCTCCTCTTATAATGCATTTGGCGAAATAGGGGGAACTTAAAGCTAAATTGATTAAACTTAACAAGAAAAATAAGAACCCCCCCCCCCTTAAAAAAACCCAAAGAAAGAAAGAAAAGAACAATGGGAGGATGGGAGAAAATAATGACTTGATGCATGATTCACAGTTTCGGGCCCACAGGAACATACATCTTGGCTTTTTTAATGAACATTTCAAATTGGCCGGTATTCAAGAGTTGTGTGTAGCACTCTTGTTAAGCTTGGTTTCTTGTTCTTTCTGGCATCAAGTTGCAACAGCAAGGGGAGGTGAAAAAGGGGAAGAGCAGGAAGAGGGGGCGATTTTTTCAAAATAATTAGGCGAGGAGGGGGTTGGTGTTTTTTTACGTATTTTTTTTTTTATCTTCAGGCTTTTAATTTTTTTTTTTCGGGGGGGGGGGTTGCTTTTTAAAAAATCCTATTTGACACATATATAAACGCAGCGCTTTGTTTTTGTCCGTGTTGTTTCATTTAAAAATCCTATTTGACACAGATATAAACGCAGCGCTTTGTTTTTGTCCGTGTTGTTTCATTTAAAAATCCTATTTGACACAGATATAAACGCAGCGCTTTGTTTTTGTCCGTGTTGTTTCATTTTAAAATCCTATTTGACACAGATATAAACGCAGGGCTTTATTTTTGTCCGTGTTGTTTCATTTAAAAATCCTATTTGATACAGATATAAACGCAGGGCTTTGTTTTTGTCCGTGTTGTTTCAATCGTTTTTTGTTTTGTTTCTCGTTTTCCTTCTTGTTTGTTTCCTTTTTTGAAAGTTTTTACTCATTTCACGAGGATTCTGAGGAATTAACAGCATTTTTGTTACTTAATCAGCAATAGAAAAATCATTTCAATGAGCCAAAATCGATCTCATTTATTTTAATGGAGCCAACTTTCGTTGCTAGCCTATGGGGAAATAAAAATGTTATTAATCTGACAGTCACGTAGGCCCCTACTTCATACGATAGTTCTGCCGAGTATTCAACCAGTCATCATTTCGCTCCCCATTCAAATATTAATTTGCTTGCTCATTCAAAAAACGTCGCAAAAAAAGAAATAGGCCGACCTACATCAGAGTCTGCAGGGTCTTCAAAAGTAAACAGAAGAAATCTTGGAAAATTGCACAGAAACTTCTTTAAACCAGAAATAATAATAAAAACAATAATAATGATAATAAGAATAATAATAATATATTTTTTTAAAAGAGCCCCAAAACAAATTGGTTTTATTGTTTTACAAAATGCCCATCCCGATAACATGCATTAACTGGGTAGATCTAGAAATCTAGATCTAGATTCTAGTTCCGAGGAAGGTGAAGCGTGCACTTCGAAATAAGGGCGCTTTTCACGGGAAGTCTCCCAAGCATTTTATAATTACATGTAGATCTAGATCTATATACATGTATATGACGTACATCCCAACGACAACAACTAAACTTTCAACAGACTTTACACGTCGCACGGGGGTAGAATTTTTCTCATTGAAACTCGAACTCACGCAGAGACGGAAGTATATTTGGGTGCCTAAAAAAGGAGTAGAATCTAGGCCAAAACTAGCTGGAAATGCCGAAATGGTAAAATTACAAATTATTTCGGTAGGTACAAATAACAATATTATTATTATTACTATTATTATTATTATTATTATTATTATTATTATTATTATTATCATTATTATTATTATTATTTATCAAATAGCAAGTCGGAAACGGCAGGGAACAAATTTCAGAACGAAATGAATCACCACCGAAAAAAATCTTTTAAAATAAAGAAGAACACGAACACGCTAAAAAGCAATCCTCGCTAGAAAAAAAAAATCACAATTAGGGTCTAACTTTTCTTTTCTTTTCTTCTTTTTTGTAAATAATTAAATCTCGATCTTGATGTAGATGTTCATCTAGCCTATACCTTCACGGTGAAATTCCCAAAGGAGCGCGAAGACGCCTTGAAAGAAAACACGAGAAAGGCTTTGAGGTTTAGAAAGTAAACGGCGGCTTTTTGCCCTTTGAAAAAAATATTCCCGCAGTCAACGGGAAAGATACTGTGAGATAGGGGGCGAATAAATGAATGAGTTTTTGGAGCAACCACAGGGCGCTACACACGATAGCATCAGATTCTGTGTTGTAAACTGACTCGGCCGCATCAAGCAAGCAAGCCGCCCGACTCGGGGTTCGTTGTGTTGTCGCTGTCGCTGGCTTTAATACTCTCCGCGGTCTCTAACTTCCTCGCAAATTTGTAAAGCTGAGGAAAATGAGCGCTTCGCTTTCTTCGCGGTATGATGTATGATAATAAGTTTATGATCGGCGTACTTTATGATGTGATTGTAAGCGGGCGGGCGACAAATGAAAACATCACCCACTACTCAGTACTTTTCTGACAGAGTCTAGTGCACTTAATATTGTGACCCTGTTGTGCTAACATCTTATTTTTGGCTCACGATGACATATTTAATATTTATTATCATAATATTGTTATCAATGCCCTTAGATCTAGAATCTATAGGCTACTATAATTAATAGCCTCTAGTTCTAGTTCTAGATCTAGATCTAGATCTAGAGAATCTAGATCTAAACGCCTAACGGACAATTGCAAAACTTGGAGGGGTTTTTTGTTGTTGTTGTTTTCTTTTGTTTTTGAGTTGGGGAAAAAAAGTAAACAAAAAAGTAAAGGAACGAAAACAGAAAAGGGGGACAACATAACACCGGAGACAAAGTAAAGTCAGCGTTATGAATTTGAAGCTTGAAAGATTAACGCCAACGGTTTCTCCACAGGATGAGTAGGACAATGAGATAAAGCAGACAGTCGTGAGACAGGCAGATAGCTTAACTTGACGAACTGTTAATTTATCAAGTGGAGCAGTAGTGACAGTAACGCGTGAGTCAACAGTCCCATTGATTCACAGCAATAACTTAACCCACATTTTGGTGTAGGCCTGGCTACTTGCGAACCATTCAAGATATGGGACAAGAATTTTCTAGACTTGTAGATTCTAGACGTGAAACGTGATCCTAGACTTCGCTCTATATCATATCTAAGCCCAACCCTTACCGTATATGTCGAGGATGCTGACTTCTTCGACTCCTCCAACAATTAGATCTATCTAGAGATCTAGATCTAGATCTAGATCTAGATCTAGCTAGAGACCAACGGCGACAGTGGTCATTGAGTGATGTATTTTTGAAATTAAAAAAACCCAAAACCACCCAGAATGAACGTATCAAGTTATGAATAAAATGCAGGTCTAGATCTAGAAGATTATCGACTTTTGGTGAGAGGGGAATCATCGGTCTAGAATCTACAGATCTACAGAAACTACTCACCAAGTAAGAAGAAGCATCTTGACTGAGAGAAAAGTAATTCCGATCACAGAACCACTCAACAATGCAAATCCAGCGAATAAACTAATGCTTCCACACAATGAAACGGAACACAAAGATCGTTCAAATCCACCACGAAATAAAAACTCCAAATTTTTCCCGTGCGTTCAAAATATCCGCCGAAGAATTTAAAAAACAATAATAATGATCCTGAGCTCCGGGTAAACGTTTAGGAGAAAAAAGCACAGAGAGTCATGAAGCGAGGTAGTTTTTCCAAAGTATCAACACTTGTCCGTTGTGAAGAATCCGCTCTGTCAACAATACATTGAACACTGAACATCGGAGTAGCAGCACAAACCGACACCACCATCAACAAACCGTCGTCCTCAGATACGGATTCTTCCTCTATTATAATTCTCTTCTCTTCTTCCTCTACAACGCTCCGTTCGTTCGTTCGACCGTTCGCCTCTATCATCCACCAATACTAGTACAAGAAGAAGAAACGGTTTTACAACTTGCGTCTGCACCCGCGTGCACAGCGCGCGCACCACCACACGATAGGGACAAGTCTGCGCGCCCTCGCCTCTGACTGCCGCCTGCCGCGGCCCACGACGTCGTCTCGCAGAGCGCCGTGTTCGTTTCAGTTTCCTCCCTCGCCGGCCGTATCTCGCTCGTCTTTCTCTCTCGTCTGCTTCTGCTACACCCGCCGCTGCTCCTGCTGGCTGATTGAATAGTGCTAGGCCCGAGCGATGCTTGTAGTGCTAGTGCTTAGTAGAATTGTTGGCTCGACGCGAGTGGTGCCGGTGTGAGAGTAGAGGGAAGGAAGAAAGAGAAATACAACAAGGAGGGAGGGAGATACTTCAGGGTGAGAGAGAGAGAAAAATGAAAGGGAAAGATTGGTGGGGGAGGGGTGGGGGAGATTTAAAGATAAAAAGACTAAATCGAAAGGGTGGCGAGGGGTGCAAGGAGTAACCGAGGGTACGCGAAAGGGTGACGGAAAAGGGTGCGGTTATGGCGTTGGAGGAGGGGGGGGGGGGAGTTAAGCCTTCGTTTTGGAAATATGGAGAGGGAAGGGGGATGATGAGATGATCATTCATGAACATTCTGTCATGGTTTGAGAGGGGTAGTGATGGGGTGGGGTGGGGGAGAGGGTTGTGAGGAGGAGATGGGCCAAGTAGCACGATCGACTGGCGAGGGTGTGAAATGGGAAATGGGGTGAGGGGAGCAGCAAGGGCGAAATGGGGGAACGAGGAAATTCTCTCCCGAACAGACGAAGCGAATCGAGACGAGAGGTCTTGACGGAAAGGAGCACGGCGGCATTGTTTTTTTTTTTACTTTTCGCTCTCCATTTCGTGCATGTAGTTTGTTAAACGTCCACATAGCTGCTCGTCATGTCCACATCATGTTTTCTGCGAGTTCGAATTACTACTACATGTACATCGAATGCATTTCTGATGTGCACTTTTTCCTCAGCTCTACAGCAGAACGGCGGCAGATACAAAGAAAGAGGGGGGAAAAACAAAACAGAAACAAAACAACAACAAAAATCGTCCTATCTCGGGAGGGTGGAACGGCGAAAAACAAAAAGCTTTTTCTTTCTTTTTTAAATATTTTATTTTGGTTAGCGCTCACAACAGCATGAGGTCAAATGAAACTTGTCATGTACCGTGGCTGTAAGAGCGCATGACGCCCCAGACATTTAGTTCACTCGTCTCCTTTCTTTTCCCGAAATGTGATTTTGTAACAAAGAAAAATAGAACAAATCTACAGAAACAAAGAAAATCAACCCAAAAGCTA